TGCTTAATTTAGATTTATCCACTCTGGGACCCAGTTTAAAAAAATATCGGTTTCACTCTCCCAAAACGCCGGATCCGTGTGGACGAAACGCCTATACTATACAAAATGTATGCGTATACAGCTAAACGCATCTCCGTGTGGACGGGGCCTAAAAATAAAACCTTAAACTTAAAATATACTTACTTAAAATAATAGTAAACATTAACTGAAATAAAATGAAATACTTTATTTCAGCTAGTTTCTCACCATTTCTCATTTAAGTTGAAGTTGAAGTTGAAGTACAATGGAAGCCTGTTTCCTTTTTTTCTCAGAATTGTGAGATATAAACTCCGATTTCTGACTTTCTCGCAATTTCAACCTTATATCTCGCAATATAGACTTTATTCCTCAGAATCCTGAGTTTACGTCTTGCAATTGTTTTTTCCCCAAAAAAGAATAAAAAAAGGTAACTGTGACTTTTTACCACACAACTCAGACTTTTTCGAGGTTATATCTTACAGTTTGGACTCTTCTGCTCAGAATTGCGCATTTATATTTTGCAATTCTACATGACTTCAGAATTCTGATGTTCCTGCAACTCAGAATTCACATCTCACAATTCTGACTTTTTTCTCTGAATTTTATTTATATCTCGCAATTCAGTTTTTTTGTTTCTGCCACAGAATAAAAAAATCGGACTTTTTTACTTGCAATAGCGAGTTTATATCTTACAGTTTTCTTCTCAGAACTGTGAGGAAAAAAGAAGTCTGAATTGTGAGATAAAAATTATTTTTTTCTATCGCTTTTTTATTTATTTATTTTTTCCCTGTGGTGGAAACAAGCTTCCATTAAGTAGTAATATAACTATTCTAAATTAAACTAAAATCTAAAACTTAATAAAGACTACATAGACATTTTTTTAAATAACAAAAATAAAAATGACAAACACAGCAAAATGACAAAAACTTTAAAATTAAAATGAAAACAAGATACTTAATTTTAAATGTTTTTATATTATTACATTTACATTTTTTTTGGTGGTACTAACATTTTTTCCAAAGCGACTTGCGTGCATTTATTTCATCAATGCATGCATTCCCTTTGGATTAAAACCTACTGTATGAGTTTGGTGCTGCAAGCACCATGCTGCTTTTTGATCTACAGTAATCACAATATGTGTGTGTAAATGAGCTGTATTTACTCTCTAAGAACTCGATCTGAAGCTCTTCCTTGTTGATGGAGATGGCGTTGAAGCCCTGAGTGGGACACACGTCTTGTTCCAGGCTGCCCGTGGCAAAACAGTGCAGTAAGCTGGTCTTTCCTGCCCCGTCCAGACCCAATACCAGCACCTGAGTACCTGCTGTCCTGGGCTGCACAACACAGAGAACAAACATGACATTACTTTACTGAAATCATAGCATGACGGGAGAGTAAAGCTGCTTCATGTGTCACACTGACACACAGGAAGAGACGGATTATACTACAGGAGGTCCATACAATAAACCAAAAAGCAGTTCATTTGATCAATGCACCATGCTCAAAAATGCAAGCGCTGCATGCAAATTTATTTTGAGTGAATTTTTAAATAAACTCCCATGTAAAACTTTAAAATTATTTGAAAACAAAAAATAAAAATCATAATAATTTCGTAATATTAACTTTCAAGTAGCATTATTTATAGCTTGAAAGATATGTAGCGTATTATTATATATTTATTACTATATTATTATACATTTATTAAAACATGAATCAATATTACAACATTTCTATTATTTTGCATTTACTTTAAGCTTCTGTTAAGCATGATAAATTATACTGTTAATAAATATTAAAATTTAAAAACGATATTAATCTAATTTAATATTATAATATTATCATAATATTATATGTGGCTATTTGCATTGTATTCTATTAAAACATTATATTTATTATTCCTTTTTTTTATTAAAATATGAATTAAAGTTGCAAGATATTTTAACTATGCATCTAGTATTATAAATTATGTTATTTGCATGTACTTAAAGTATCTTTTTTAAGCATTTCATATTCTGATCATGTTTATTAATTATTAAAATTTAGGGAAATATTAAAGTTGCATGACATTTTGAATTATTTACATCAGCTTTAAGGATTGGCATTATATAATAATAAGAATTGCTGAATATTACAATTTATGAGGATACTTTACAGACTGCACGATCTATTAAGCACCAGTTAAGCATTAAATGTTATAATAATATTAATTAATGACATTTCAAATCACTTGTTGTCACTGTAAACTGGCTGTTATTTCCACTTCTGTAGAACTTTCTGCTTTGAGGCCTCGCGTGCAACCAAAACACTGCGATAAATGAAAGTCCGAGAGGATAAAACCGGACCAAACGCACAAACCTCTGTTATTACGGGCGCTTTTAGTGCAGTGTCGGTCTTGGTGGCTTCATGCACGTGCTCTCCTCTGCTCCCGTCCTCGTTCAGCTCTTCTTTCTCTGTTTTCTCGGGTTCTCGTGTTTTCCTCAGATAACACACAGCGCACGCGACGCCTCCCGTGAGCGCGAGCGCGGCGCCCACCAGCCCGATCTCGCGCGCACCGGGCATGTTTACGCTAAATTCGTACCTCCAAATCAAATCGAGTTGAAATGTAAACAAATGCGATACTTTTTTTTCACATGCACCCGGACATGATGCGCCGCATACGGGGCCTCGGTGCGGATCCACAAGTGGATTAGAAACTCCAGAGGTCGATATTTCCGGTGAGTGGAAACAACGCGAGTGAAAAATAGAATTACTCCTGCAGAATTCTAAAAGCGCTAAATGAAGTTTTTCCGTCTTCCCCACAAAAACGGAAAAGGTGTAACCCGAGCTTTTGCGTTTCCTGGAGATCAACAACAAAAGCGGCGGTCTCGTGAGATGTGAGGTAATCACAGCAGACCGCGGGAGATTCTGATCTTTAGTTAAACAGCGGGAGTCGAAGCTCTAATCATCTCCTGAGATAAACTAACCTGCCGCCGAGAGTCACTCTTTTTAACCTAAAGGCGCACACTCCTCGGTGACATGTTTGGTTCAAGTAATGCACGACAGGTCCAGCAGAGGGCGCTCGAACACACGGCGAATCAATTAACGCGCAGCGGCAGCGCCGCCTGCTGGAGAAGTAGATTACCTACAAATAAAAAGATCTGTTCTAGACCGATCACACTGTGGAAAATGTTAAACAAGTTTATTTATGATTTTTGCATAGATATAATGTAAACCTACTAAAATAATACCTAACTTTGAAGTATTACTGTATGGGAAAAAAAGACCACAATGACGATAATACTGACTAAAAAAACAAAAACAATGCTTTTTTTTTTTACTAAAATGTACAATGCTTTTTTTTTTAACTATTGCGTTATATTACAGGTTTTCTGAAATATTGTTTAAAAAATGCAAATGAGGCTTTATCTAATAAAATATGCACACATTTCCATAAATCAGAACAGACATCTGAACATTGGATAATGCCGGGTTCAAAATTCTTGTTTTGCTGACATTAGTTTTAAAGATTTTTTATAGAGGGAATTTTGGATTTATCTTTTCAAATCTGACAGAAGGGAATACAATTTCATATAAATCCAGCAAATGATATATGAACAAACCCCTCTGTAACAACCTTCAGAATATAGATAAGAATAAAACTGCAAAGTGTAGTTTATGTAAATGCTACTAAAGTAAAAAAAAAATAAAAAATCTCAGTGAATGGAAAAAAAAAAGCTCTTAAAGATATTAATTGAAATCTACAGAGACCAATAGATTAGAGTAATAAACTAAACACTTAAAAGTGTATTTTGGATGTTTTCTTTCCACTAGTCTGAAAGACGACATGTTATGGAAGCAAAATAGTTCACAATCCCAAAATTGACCAGTGCATAAAAAACAATGGTCTTGTTTTAATGGTTAAACAGTTACACGTGCTGCACAATTACGGCAACAGATCTTTAGGAGTTTACACATGAAAGAGCAAGACACTCAGAGTTGATTGGTTTTTCCAGGAATCTCTTTATTAAGACATAACACTGGAGATCTGTTTCTGAGGAGAGTTTGTTCAAAATTATAATCAGGGTTGAGCACTGGATTTAAAAAATAAATATCTCAGCTTTGCATAAACAGCCTCTATTGTGACACAAAGTTGCTTTATTAAGCATTTATGTACCAAAAAGCAGAGACAAAAAATAAACAGAGAAATCATACAGGTCCAGAACATATGGTGGGGAAAAAAAAAAAAAACAGGAGAAATGCCCCAGACTCTTTAACATTGATAGTAATGCATGTACACAGTGGATTGGATGGTTAAAAAAAACAGATTCCCAATTAATCCATATGACAGCGTCGCTCACACTGACGTTCAAAAATCACATTCTCTTCCTTCAGAATTTAATGACTAAAACTTTTGCAATTCATCCTCCAGGCCACTGGAGCGGGTGGTGTCTTCATTATAACAACCGTTTCTCAGTGTTTCAAAAACAAGCAAACCAAAGTTTAGATGAAATCTCTCTCTATCTACCATCCTCCCTTCCCTCCTTTCTTCTTCTTCTGCGGTGCCTTCTTGCGAGCGGCTCCGGCCACAGCAGGTTTCTGTTGTCGCGGGGGAACCGCGTTGCTCGTGGCGGTGCCTGTTCCTGAGCCGGGTTGAGGGGAGGTGGGCGGACTGCTGGCGCTTTTACTGGCGTCACTGAAAAACAAACACCAAAAGTATTTCTGATGTTGCTTCTGGTTCATTAAAAATAAATAAATGAACAAATCTAAAAAAAAAAATAAGGTAAGTGTATTGCATTGGTGCTGTATGCATGCAGCAGGGTCAAATGTAAAACTAAAAACTGATTTAAAATATTAATAAAAACAAATCTCAATGATACTAAAATAACACTGGCATGCAGTAGTATATGCTGCAGAAAAAGTAGTATGCGAGTAGTATGGTAAACTTACAGCTCGGCAGACCCTCCAGATGTTGCTCCCTGTGTGCCGCGGCCGACCTGCTCCTTCTTCTTGCCCTTCTTCTTGCCGCGGTAGTACGACCGCTCTCGTATCGGCAGCCAGCGCTCCGGGTCGGGGGTCGATTTGGGGTCGTAGTTCTTGGGCAGTTTACCTGAGTACAAAAATATGAACAACTATGTATTCTTGTTAGTGCTAATAAAATGCAAGGAGATCAATAGCACACATACCTTTCTTCTTTTTCTTCTTCTTTTTAACATCTTGTGGACTGAAATAAAAAGAATGTGTTAAATGAACAGGAGGGTAAAAAAAACCTGTAGATACAGGCTAGAAAGGACAAGTGTTTTCATTAGGTTTTCTGATGTTCATTAATGGTCAAGGTGAACAGACAAGTTTATTTTTATTATGAACTTATTCATATATTACAAATATTTATATAATAATATAATGAATATATAAATATAATAATTACAACTGTCCTGTAAAATAAAAAATTATTTGATAATTATAGGCCTAATAATAATTGTATTTTACAAGTTAAAATACTAATATTTGTCTTAAATTCTAAACTTTCCAATGTTCAAATCCTTTTTTTATGCGGAAATACTGGTGAAATGCTGTAAACTTCTATCCATCCAGACATGTTGGAAATTGTGCAAATCTTTAACCTAACGCACATTGCATTCCCAAAATGCAGCCCTCATTTGGAAAACCTTGATGTAGATTATTAAGGGCACAAACATCACCAAATTTACTGATGTGTCCAGATGGACTGGATTCTGAAATGTAAATTAGTTTTAAAATGAAGGTGTGTGTTACCCCTGTTCTTTAGGCTGGCTCTCGCCCACGACTTTGGCAGCTTTCTTCCTGACATACGTGGCTCCGTGCGAGTTCTCCAGTTCATCAACGTCCACATTGAAGGACATGGTGTCCGGGGAAGGCAGATGCTTACTCAGACTGAATAAAACCAAGCGCTCAGGAAAACACAAGAAAACAGTGCAAGAACACACAGCATTTGAGTCCTTTTCCAAAGCAAAGTACATTTACAGTCAGCAGCCTGGAGTGAAGTAGCTCAAATGTCTTTCTAGCTCACAGAATAAAACCTGTGACCTTCCTGCTGAGCTTTCAAGTGATATTACTGTACAAAACCGCCATGTTTGAGGATACGCTTTGGCCTTGTCTTGATCCACGAGTGAGTATGCAGAGATGAGCTGGGCCAGCGTGTGGACGTCATTCGTGTTTTGTTTCCACAGCTGCTCCAGATCACTGGTGGCCTCTTTCTTACGGCCGTATTTCAGCTTGTAGTTGGCAGCCTCACGCACCAGAGAGAGGTGGATCGCAGACCCCGGCTGAGAGCAGGTAGAGATAAAAAAATATAAGTATGCAGTTCTGAGCTGATAAAGTCTCGCCGAACCACCATCACTCTCGTTTACCTGCTCTGACTGGTAATGCTGGATCGCCTGTGTGAAGACGTCAATCGCGCTGTCAATGTCCTCTTCATTTGTGTACATCGTGACCAGAGCAGAAATCTATTCAAAAACACATCAGAAAAAAGAAAAAAGAAAAACAGGATAACATTTAAATTCGGTTCCTCTTAAGAAACAAAAATAAGTTTTATTGATGTCCTTCAACAGAGATGGTGAGTTTGCTAAAAGTTACTAAAACTATATTTTTATTTATAAAATCTATAATGTATAATGCTTTATAATGTATAATGCTTTGTGTAATTATATTTTCTGAATTTGTAATTTGCTAAGTTACATATAGTTATATATATATATATATATACGATTTTTATACAGTAGAATGCAAGCAAATATAATTTACAACTTTGTATAATTTGCGAAATTTATCTTTGCTGTACTTATAATTTATTCATATAGAATATGGATATTTGTGACCCTGGACCACAAAACCAGTCTTAAATCGCTGGGGTATATTTGTAGCAATAGCCAAAAATACATTGTATGGGTCAAAATTATTGATTTTTCTTTTATGCTAAAAATAATTAGAATATTAAGTAAAGATCATGTTCCATGAAGATATTTTGTAAATTTCCTACCGTAAATAAATAAAAACTTCATTTTTGATTAGTAATATGCATTGCTAACAACTTAATTTGAACAACTTTAAAGGCGGTTTTCTCAGTATTTTGATTTTCTTGCACCCTCAGATTCCAGATTTTCAAATAGTTGTATCTCGGCCAAATATTTTCCCATTTCAAATTTCAAAAAATTGACCCTTATGACTGGTTTTGTGGTCCAGGGTCACATTTGTTATATGCATAAAATATACAGTACTGTAAAATATACAGTAAATATAATGTATAATCCTTAAATTCAACACTTCAGTTTAACAGCGTTTAAATACAATTTAGGTTAATCACAATTATCTTAAACCACTAACAGCCCTCGTGAGTCCCTTCAAAAATAATCAAAGGCAAATGAAATCTCACCATTCCTGGTTTATATTTAAACTCTTCTATTGACTTCAGGATGTCACAGGCTTTGGTTACATGACCTGTTGGAGATGCACACATACACTGCACTTCAAATATCCTTGTAAGTTCAATCTAGTCTCTGTAAGAGTGTCTGTTTGGTTTGTATTCATACCTTGCGTCAGGTAGAGTTGTGCCATGGTGAGTTTGATTCCAGAAGCGCTTTCAGGGTGCTGATCTGAAAACCGCTGCAGGAGAGACGGAAACCATTACAGAACGCCACAAATAGCAGAAAATGAAAGAGTCAGGAGGGCAAAGTACCTGCAAGAGCTCTATGGCTTTGTTGTGCTGTTTTTCTCGGCATAGCTGGGCCACCTGGATCAGAACCGGTCTGGGGTGACCTGGGCTCTGGGCCTGCTGGCTTGCCAACAGCTTTTTGCACTGATCGGCCTGTGGGACGACAATGAGGGGTCAGAACAGGTCACATCCATCAGGAAGAACTCTACAACATTGTACAATACAAACTGGGTGATCACCTGGTTAGTGTACATAGCCAACAGGGCTTTGTTGATCTCAATGGCCTGCAACTGTTTTTTGGCCAGTTTGTGCTCAACCCCTTCAGCGCTGGTCAGTTTCACCTTCTTCTTGGAGTCAAACACGTTTTGGTCCTGGAAGATCA